CTGGGCAGAGAAGAGATTCAGAGCAGCCCTCCAAGCCCAGAGGTGTTCAAGGCCAGGTTGGACAGGGCCTTGTGCAACATAGTTCAGTGTGTGGTGTCCCTGCACATGGCAGGGGGGTTGGAACTAGATGATCTTAAGGTCCTTTCCAACCCTTACTATTCTATGATTCTATGATTCTATATGAAAGCAGATGTAGAGACAAAACATATCTGGGAAATAATGCTATCTGTAACTAAATAAATACGTGGTCACATACCAAAGGCTTTCTGTATATCCAGGACACGTCAGTATGTAACTGGGGGGGGGGAAAAAAGCCCCTAAGATTCATTTTCAAAAAAAAAGAAAAGAGACTTGAGCAATCCAAACTTTACTGTTGCCTGTCTAATTCAAAATCACCTCTTCCTTACTTAAAGAAATGTTAAAGCAGTTCTACAGCGCTGTGTATGATATCAGTATTGCCCATATATACGTAAAGGTGTACATACACATATGACCTTCAATATTTGACTTCTCAAACATGACCTTTGAGAAAATCTCTCAGTGGAAACCACCTAACTAGTTGATACAGAATGGAGCAGTTTGTCCTAAATCTCATCCTTGCTTAGATTTAGGATCTTAAACCGGACTGCAAAGAGATGAGTCCTCCATTTTTGGACTTCATAATCCAGAACTGCAGGCATATAATCAATGCTCCTTTTAAAAATTTAACCTTTCTTTTCCTAACCTATTGTATCCTTTCCTACCAAAGTACTGCCTACTTATCTACAATAGTTCAGTGTTTAGAATTCTGATACATAATAGCCAGGTTAAATCATCCTCATACTGAAGGGGCTTTAACCCTAAATCCTGGGCATCCTAAGTACCTGCCTACTAGAAAACTAGGAGAAGGAGAGAAATAAGAGAAGAAAGATCTCTGTCTCTCTGGCTGAACTGCAAAAAGAATATTAATGCTAAATGAAGACCAAAAAAGAATGAGAATGAATATGTGAGGTCTTCAGCATCATGATCATGCTCATCAGTTCTGATATAAATTCCGTAGAATTTTGCGTGTATTTTCTCCCACAAATATTTCAAATAAAATGCATGACTTTCAAGCAGGAACTAGAAGCAAGAGCCCCTTCCAAACTGAGTGCTTAAAAATCACTTGCACTCAATCTTGTCTTCTCAGTGAGTGAGCATTCTGTCAGAAACAAACAGAAAAGAGAAAAGCCTGAAAGGGTCTTGTAAAAAACGTCAAAACCCAATGTATCTATGCTCTTTCATAATTTGTCGACTGCGTTAGCAAATAAGCAAAAGTTTAAGCATCAAAATTTGAGTTCAGGTGATTCCATTTTCTAGTCCTGCTTGAAGACACATTCTTTTATCTAAGCTGCCATCTGAGAAAAATACTCTTTCTGCTACTGGTTCCCTGGAAGAAAACAACATCCCTTAAAAAATAAAAACCACTTTTTCTGAGTCACAGCCAAAATTCCATCAAGTAAGATGAACTACACCGGTCCCCAGAAATGAAAGCAAGGTAAGGAAATAGTTTGCCTACAATAATACTGAATCACCCAAACCAAAAAGCATCAGTAGTATTTAACAAAAAATCTGTCTCCAAAGCAAATGCAAGACAAAATACCCAAACAAAACCAGGAAAAGGTGTCTTCTGTTACTAAGTGCTTCTAGAATTTTTGACTCACTCAGTGGAAGACATGACTGATGGTAGCATGAATGCAAAGTAAATATGCTTGTCTGATAACGCTCTTCTCAAGAAATCCTTAGATTGTTTTTTTCCTGATTTAGTATATTATCTGGATAAATATAAAAGACATAATTTAGAGTGGGCAAAATAATTCAAAGCTCAACTGCTGCTAAGAGTGAATAATCCTATGGCAAAACTGATTTAACCTGAGCATGACTACTTTACACTGTTAGTTTTTAATTACTATTTTATAAAAGGACTTTTACACTCTCCTAAGGACTTTATTTAATGTTTACAATAGGTTTTTTTTTTCCTCTGACCAAAAAGACACAGAGTTTCTTGTTAATTATCACTGAGGACTAAAAAAATTTGTGCTCAACAAGTCCACCAGCATAGAAAAGATTTCTGTAAATAATTTGTATCACATATTGCACGTTTTGAGTATGAAAAGAAAACTTCAGGATTTGCATTCCAGAGAAAAGTAGCAAGATTTGCCACTGGTTTTAGTGGAAGCAGTATTCAACTCTTCACTTTTTGAGTTCACTCTTTTCATTTTCATACTTCTATTAGAAAATAATAAAAATGCATGTATATATATAAAAAATATATATTAAAAAGTTTATATGTGTATTACTGTAGGGATTTTAATTCATTATATTTCTGGGAGCTCTGAAGAGAAAAAAACGCAAACCACCAAGCTATTTTTCTCATTATATTAAAACTATCTCATCAGCCAAGTCAGTTTGCCAAGCTACACCTGGCAAAATTCATACCAGAAGGAAGCTGGCGCTTTTCCACAATCCTGATTAAATACCATGACAATCAGAAGCTTAGTCAAGGTTGAATCTTTAGATAGAATGATTTTGCTCCAATTTATAACTCCTGCTGTACAAGAGGCTGGATATGAAGCCCTTAGGAAATTGTTCAAGCTTTTTACGAGGGTGGCGATGTTGACAGCTTTGATGATGTATCAGTGAGCAATTAGTCTTGAGGGGGTAGCTAAAGGGCAATAGTATTCAGACAACATACTTCTATGGCTCTGTAACTTGTCATATGGATACTATTTGTTAGTACTGAGATGATGCTTAGATATTCCAAGTGGAAATAAACTACTCTGATAATGGATTCAAGACGCTTACAAACTACCAATGCCACAGAAGTGATATAATAAAAGTCTTCAACTGAACTTGCTCCCCCCACTCATTCATTCTTTCTTTCTCACTCCTTTCCTTTCTGTTCTAAGTCAGATTCATTCTGAAAGGGCTGGAACACACTGTACCTTTTCAGGAAGGGACAAGGACCATTTAATATCTTTTCTGCCCTGATTTTGGTGCCCTGCTTCTTGTGTGAAATGCTAACAGTGAGGTAAAAAAAATACTGTTCTGCACGTAGAACAACAGAACTGACAATATAGAAGGAAAGAAAAAAGAAGAAAATGCTTGAATACTAAATCTAAGAGGTTTTGAATTCCTTATCAATCCTTTACTTAGCACAAAGTGTCAGAAAATGTAGTAACATTCAGTGGTCAGAGCTCTTGTCTCTGCTATTACCAATGAGCTAAAACAATAAAATGTCCTTACTTCTGACCAATCCAAAGCGACCCACTGTGGGGGACAGGACTGATTGTTACAGGACTCTTTTTCAATAGGCCGGTGTGTTAAACAGTTGGTATTGTCCAATGTCTCCTCCTCAGAAGGTCCAATCTTTCTGATACAGAGAACTGTTCGTGAACGCATCCCTCCATCACAGGTCTTACTGCATTCTGACCAATCCCCTATAAACCATCTGGATAGAAAAAGTTAGGAGACTCAGTTAATGCATTTCAGAAACAGAGTAGATAATTGCACAAACTCAGAATCCAGATAGTTTAAATTACTAAATCTACATCATGTTTAAATTACTAAAGCTACATCATTGTTAACAATACATGCATTCATAGTGAAATAAAGTAGAAACTCATGGGTCTTTTTACTGCAACCAAATATTCCAATAATAATACTGCTTTGTATTTTTCTAGAGCAGCAATTTCCAGTCTAGGTTACAGTAGTTAGAAAGGAGTGTTGAGCCTGACAAAACTGCAGCTATTTAAGTGGATTTGTAGTGAAGTTGCCTGAAGTTATTTCTCTGGAAGGGGTTTGTAACTGGAAATACTTGGGAACCACTGTTGTAGCACAAGCTAAAATCCAAGATGGTTGCCCCTCTAGTAAAAATCAGGAGTTGTACATTTTATTTAGATCACTTTGTGTTGCCATAAAGATTACAGCAACTGTTAATCTGGCGGTAATTATTTTTTAATTTTTTTTCTCCTGGTGAATGGTTAATGCAGCTAGAAACATTTCATCACATTGTTGAGCACATTTGGTCTTCAGTATTTCATATGTTGACTAGATACATTTGCCTGAATTATCCTTGCAAAGGATGAAGATGAACTATAGTATGCTAACACAAGTTGCCAAGATGCCAAAAATGCCAGGCATGTCAGTCATTGTGGATGTTCCTGGAGGTATGGTTGGAGCTGCCTCATAAGATTTGTCATTTTCTGAAGGCTCTGTCAAAAAAATACATGTCCTGCTATTTTGTTTTGTGTTACAGAATGAGTCATGTATGCTGAAGACTAACCTAGATCAATGCAGAGATGCAAACAAATATGCCGTATTCTGTCGTTAATTTCCCAGCAAAAGAGCATTAATTCATGATTCTTTGTCACTAAATGCATGTTTTACCACAGTAGGGAGAATGAGAAGCTCTTCAGAGCTTTGGGGATGCTGAGGTGTTAATTTTTAGTTGCTGTTATGATTTGCTCATGTGTATTCTCAGGTACCTTTTATGTTTATACTGTATGACAAGACAGTACTGTGAGAACTATAGAGTTACCTGTATCAGATCTTAGAATCTGGAACTTTAAGAGTTGGTAATAACAAATAAAATACTGTGAACAAACATAGGCTTTGCTGCGGCTCAGGGACATCAAATATAAGGTAACGGGCATTCTGTTAGAAAAAATGAAATTTTTGTAACTTTTTCTATACACCACATGGAAAGTAGAATTGTGTTAATTAAAAAGGGAAATATTTGGCCACTTTGTGTAGAGTGTGTGAAAAATATTCCAACCAAAGGGGTCAAACTTCTCTGAGTAACTATCTGTTATTTGAACAGCTTTCTTCTAGACTACTTACAGGATCAGGAATCAAGAATGCTTCTTCAGGAGTTTGGCACCTGTATTCACCTTGTGGGGAACATCTGAATGGAGGCAGATGTGGACTGAACTGCTCTGACATATTCAAGCAGATGCTGATTAATACACACTAACCACTTTATCTTAATGGCTTTTATTTTACCATCTTCATCAACGTTCCTCC